ATAGAAAATCTCATCAATATTTGACTTGCTGGATTTGGAGGATGACGTCCGACAGGCACTTTTACAAATGACTCCAGCGGAAATGGCGGATGTTGCTCGCTTTTGCAACCATTACCCTAGCATTGAAGTTGAACACAAAATCGAAAATAATGGAACCATTACTGTGTAAGTGATTTACATTTTAAATTCAATGAAATCAGTTCCTTATTTTAATTTCTAATCTCACTTTTTCTTTGCACAAGATTGAGAGTTCGCGGTTTTTTTTTTCACGATACAATTTTACTTTTTAAAGGAAGTTTTCGTGCTGATTTGAACGTGTCAGTTTTGGTTTAATTCTATTTCAGGGGTGATACAGTAAACGTTACCGTCGAAATGGAACGTGAAAATGATTTGAACGGGATGGCTCCACCTGTTGTGGCACCACTTTTTCCGCAAAAGCGGAAGGAAGAAGGATGGTGGCTAGTTATCGGAGATCAATCTTCCAATACACTGTTTTCTATAAAAAGGTTCGTTTCTGAGAATTTTGCTTTAATTCATCCTTTTTCAAAGTCATTACTTCTCTCTTAACTCGTTTATTTTTTCCTAAATTTGTTGCAATTCCGAAGAATTGAAGTTTTAATAATTAAAAGTATAGAAATAGAAGGAAAGTAGTACAAGAATGAAAACAAACTTTTTTTATTGTCAGATTATCTTCATGTGATATTAGAAAGTTTTCAATTGACGAGAAAGAGAAATAATTTTACTTTACTATAATTTCAGGTTGACAGTTCATCAGAAAGCAAAAATGACGCTTGATTTCACTGCATTGGCAGTAGGGAAGATGCATTACAAGCTATATTTCATTTGTGATTCTTACCTAGGAGCTGACCAAGAATTCGATCTCAAATTCCGTGTTGAAGGTATTTTAGTAGTTAAATTTTTTTTTCAGATCTATTCTTCCTAGATTCATCTTTCAAATTTCCGTCTTAATAATTTATTCACTTTCGAGTTTATTTTTTCTAACCTCCTACAGGCCCTCTAGAAATTCCATGCAGCATTTCTGTGCATGGAAATATTTATTCTTTCAAAATTTCGTGTTTACGACAAACTTAAACTAATTTGGAATGTTAAAGCTCTTATCATTTCCGAAGTACGTAGAGCTTTTCGTACGGATGTTTTATCTCGTTGCCACAATTCTTTTAAACTACAATTTTTTAATGCTTGGTAATTTGTTAAATTTTTTAGAAACTGGACGGAGTCGAAAGCGAGCTCGTGACGAAGAATGATTCCACTTCTCTTTTTCTTATCATTATTTTCTTTATTGTTATTGCTCTTTCCACTGTTGAACATTTTCTGTAACAATTTGTGGTCTGTTTACTGATGGATCTTTCAGCAAGCTGAAAGGCTGTAAAAAATTTGTGGAAATGTTGATATTTCCAAGGAAATATCAAATATACAAAATGGTTTTACCGAAGAAGACATAAAATGACCATTGCTGTCCACAGTACTCTGCATAAATCTGTTCATTGTCATGGAACTTTTTTTATTTCAAAAAATGTAGAAATTATTTTTTGTTTCTCAATTTTTTTGCTTCAAGATTGGATGTTTATACATTTGGTTGATATTCGAAGTTCTATTTTGCATTTCAGTGGACATTTTTTTGTCATAAAACTTACTGGATTAAACATAAAATATAATTTGATTCTTTGAATTAGAACGGTGCAAAATTTCGTACTAATTTGGAGTGGTGGTAAATAGTATGTCGATGATTTTTTTTCTGATCGTGATAAAGATTTAGTTGGTTAATTCTGCCTCTTTGGTTCCGTTTCTCCTTTCTGATTTCAATTTTCTTTGCTCCTCACACTTTGGTAACGAACTCAAATTTGGATAATTAAATCATTACTCCACTAAGTTGGTTAATACAGCAACGAATTCAACAATTATAATATCAATAAGACGAATCAAACGAAGATATTAACAACAATAAGCGTTCAAATTACGCCCGATATTCCAACCAACAGACTTGGCTCACGCACATTTGTAAAATGAATCGGTGCTCAGGATCGTCCGCTTCCTCAAGTGGGAAGGCTCTGTAACGTTCTAAGATTATAAGAATTAACATCTTTATAGAGCGCCCATTGGTATAGCGCTCTTTGTTAGCACAAATATAAAACGATAAACGCATATAACAGAAAGATGTCTGGCTGTTAGCAAAAAGGCTTCTCACTGTTCATTTGTTTCCCCTGACGATATCGGCGACACAGTAAAGCAGAAAAGTATAGTGGCGTCAATTTCCGAAGTAGATACGAGGATATTTGGAAAATTTTTGATACAGTGATTGCTGATGAATAATTACTGACTAACAGTAATTATTACTGATCACTGATTAACTAACATTACTGATCGCCTATATTTGTATTACAAATTAACAAACTGACAAACTAACTAACAAATTACCTATATTTGTATTACAAATTTACATTGTAATTGATCGGCATCTAAAACTGCAGAAGAGATCTGGGAACTTTTCGACTTTCAACTTTTCTTACTCGTGTCATATTTCATTTCTAAAGACTATTTCGTAATATTATTGCTGGTTTCTGCAATTCTTATTCGCTTCATCATTTTTCTGTGGGCAATGCTCAGAAATTTCATCATTCTTCAATGATCCTGCAGTTACTCATCCAGATTGTACTTTGTAATATACTGTTTTTGTATTTTATAAAAAAAAAAGTGTTACCAATCTTTGTCACATTCAGCAAATTTATAGCATTGAACTGAGCAACGATTAATCATTTGGAACAACAGAATTTGCTCAGCGGGAATATTACTTATTTGATGTCTTTCAAATCTTTATTAATCATAATTTTTAAGTTAACTTTCAGAATGCAATTTTATTGAAATTTCGGGATAAATGGTTGTTGCAAGGAAAGCTACTATTCATTTTTAGTTAGCTTAATGTTGCGCAATAAGGATGCCTATTTCCCAGTTCCGGAAAGAGGTCGTCACCCTTCTCTTCTTCCTTCTTTATTCCTCCCTTATAATTTAGTAATCCATTTATCTGATCAGATTGCCACTGTTTCCCATCCCTCACTTCATGCTAATTTGTACTGTCAACGGAATGACAGATTGGTATAACTACAACTTGATACATCTGCTTTCATTTATACAAATTGCTGGGTGTCACATTTTCTTCACCTACGAAGAATATGTTTCTTTTTTGTACTTCTCTGTATATTAACCATTAAAAAAAGGAAAAGAAAAACTGTAGCAAAATTTCTGAATAAAAGTGGATATTGTACACAAACAGTATCAACAAGATAAGAATCACGAATTTTAATCAATCCATTTTAATATAAAAAATGAGGAAAGTTTATTAGACGGATATTGGTGTAACGGAAAAAGGTCCAACTGGACCTGAAACTTCATTCAATTTTCTTCATATTCCGGAACTTTGCTCATCTT